TGTTGTTGTTTCGTCTCTCTCTCTCTCTCTCTCTCTCTCTCTCTCTCTCTCTCTTTCTTCTTTCTTAGTTGTATGAGTTTACTTCCCATAATTCTGTCTCCGTTGTTTTCGTTTCTGTTTGTTTGCTTTTTGGTGTTAAGTGTAGAAAGAGTGAAGAAGAAGAAGGAGAAGGTAAAGGTGGTTGGCCAACTTCTAAGAGAGAAGGCATGGAGGGGTTGGGTGGGCGGGTGGGTGGGCGGAGATGGGACAGATAAGAAGTCGCTATACATGATGAGAGAGAGAGAGAGAGAGCGAGAGAGAGTAATGGTCAAATGAATGGTAAGAGTGACATCGCAATCTGGTGGAGTTCACAAGCAGAGACAGATCACATCAGAGATATCAGAAAACAGCAGCAGATCAGAGTTCTTAAGCTGCTTGATTTGCTTCTTCAGCGTCTGTAATCTGCGCGAGGAGAAGGGAGTGCCATAGACCATAACAGAAAGAGTTCTTAAGCTGCTTGATTTGCTTCCTCAGAGCCTGCAATCTTGTGTTAGAAGAAGGAAGTGACAGATACCAGAGAGAAGCAGCAGCAGTTGCAGTCGCACTGTAGTTTTAAGCTTCTCTATAGCCTGTAAATATGTGCCAAAAGAAGGGAGTGATGCATCGATGGGTATGAGTTCCATTAACAAAAACTTAATCTATCAAGTTATGGATTGAATTTAATGTATATCATTCAATCCTTGAACACCTTTAATCTTCATCTGCATACCAATACTGTCCTGTTTCCAACATCTTATACATGCATGGATGAAAGAATACATATTATACCTAAAATTTTCCAGCTGCTATAGTAGTCATTCTAGTGGGTGCCATATGGGTGCGATGCTCTTCAAGATAACAAAAGAAGAGCGAGAGAGAGAGACTGGAAATGAGTGGGATGGCTGCTGTTTCCCACCAGGAACATATGCTGCCCCAAAACATGGGGTTGGGTTCCCTCCACGCACACAAGACACAGACACACACAACCTTGTGCAGACCACTCCAATTCCTCCTCCTCTTCTTCTTCATGGTCCTTTGAATTAGTGCATAATGCTACCATAGAAACCAATGCATAAGCATCCATTGTCATTATTAGTACTCTAAATGATTACATTCATCCAAAAAAAATTAATTGGGAGCTCCTCTAAGCGATCCACAAAAAAGAGTCGAAAGGAGATGGCACATCAAACTACTGGGCAAAGGACACTAAATAGAAATGAGATGGACGATGAAAGGTATGTGTTGTTGAAGCTGAAATCCAAATTATTTCATGATCACAACACGTGCAAACACATTGCGATTGTTGAGAAGTCGGGTGGGAGTTCTTTGTGGAGTGTGGAGATAGAACGCATTCCCCTCTCAACTTGTGAACCCAAAAAGAATGGCGAGTGCGAGTGGAAGGCAGGTCAGGTCGCCTTTGCATGACAACATCGGGTAATGTAGTCTTTTCATTTGGGTCTCCGTCCTCAACCATGTCACCACCGAGTGGGGAACCTCCACCGATTTACACATTAGGGTTTCAAAGGGATCACGACAAACCCATTCACACACAAAATATACCATGTGATTTACATGAGATTCAATTCAATTTCATGATCTTATCATCGACCCTCAAAATTTTCACCAATTTTTCATATGACATAATTTTGATTTGGTAGTATGAAGTATCATTTCCTTTAATTTTAAGTTTGAACCGTTCGTTATTTGTCTAAATGACATTTAGTTATTTTAAAGCTCATTATTCTAAAAAATATATAAGGGTATTTTTATATTTTTTATATTAAATCTAATTATGATTGATTAGGAGTTTCTAGATAGATGATCGTTCCAAGTGAGAAACATATATTCATATTTTAGTTACTAAATAAAATATTTTATCATCATCTCACTACGATGATAGTTTATCTGTATATTTATTTATGATCGTATATGATTTTAAAGTGTTTAACATTTTACAAACAAATAATTATAAAAGTGTAAATGATTTAGACAAAATCATTGAAGTTCATGAGAAATTGATGGATATATATAAATAAACTTGTAAGGATAAATTTACTATTTCCAAACTTTAAAGGGAATGTGTGTAAAGAGTATGAGTAGAATGTGCAACACAGAAACCCATCACTGTCGCTATGAACACAATGCACGAACGCAAGAAGCGGAAGGCGATCTTCAACCGTTTCATACGCTGGGATGTTGATCGTTGACTTGGAGGCAGCGTATGCCCTCACACTTGCGACCTTCGATGGTTGGTTGACCCAATAGGAAGGAGATGTCTACTCGGCTTTCACCTCGCGCCGTCGTGGATGTCAAATTGTCAATGAACTCCCCACAAATCGGTTTGGCTGCTGCACCAAACGGTCTCCAACATTGACGGTTGAGGAACGACGTGATGTGAATTCACATCACCTAAAAACATGAAAACATTATTGTCGTCCACTTTAATGAGTTCGCACGGTTTTGACTTTTATATGATGAATTCTAGAAGATATGTTTGAGGGTACAAAGATGATTTGACACTTATAAGATCGTAATTCCTAAGTATATTTATCAGTAGTAAAAGAAGTCCATATGAGTTAAAATGTTAGAAGATATGAATAATAATTGAATCAACTCGATTTGATTTGAACACACAGTGTATAAGTATCTTTTGAGGAATGATCAAGGAGCTTCAGATTTATAGAATGAATGAATTAGATATCCATCAGATTCGATCGTGAGACAATAATTGACGTGCCAGAGATCTATCAACTGCAAAATAATATATTGACCATCATGATGTCTCAATAGAGGCATCCTGATGTTATCATTAGCCACATCTTTGAGCATTTAAAACCAATGTCATCAGCTGAAATCATGGATCCTCTACTGGTACAAGCTTTTCATAATTTTGTGTTCTTCATTTCAATGGACTGTTCTTCATTTCCTGGGTTTCATGAATATTTGTTTGTCAATCTATGGACTGTTCTTCTAACTGAGCCAGCATAATCAACAACAGTCGAAGATCGGATGTAACCCAGGAAATGTCATGCTAGAATTGCCAACCTACTTTGCTTCACAAGATTTCATGTAAATCTATCTCCTCTTCAAACATGCTGTTTACAAGACTTGTTCAATAGTGTGCCAAGAAAAATGCAACAAAATTTCTGGCTGCAAAAGAGTTGGATGATTCAAGATTTCATCACACCGTGTAAAAGTGCAAAGATCAGAGAGCAGAGCATTCAACAACCAAATTGGTGCACTTCAACAGTCTTTAGATATCAGCCATCATTCATCTACACGCTATAACAGTTGTGTAGGCTGATCAGCAATGTCGGAGATCATTAGGATCGGAACCAATAACGTAGGTCCATTTTTACTTTCCACGAACAAAGAAAGATTTAAATGGCTATTCAAAATTAGTGGAGAACCTAAGCATGCAGTGTGAATTTTCTTTTTCTTTTTGCACTTCCAGGACTACAAGATGAATATGACAAATCTCTATTTTCATCATTTTTGAATCTTGGCAAAAGCATTTCTTTAGACAATAATATAAGCATACTTCAGCCCATTTCTCATAGAAGTGCAAGTCACTAAATTAGTATCAAATAATCAAAGCAAGCAAATCTTGGAAATACTTGGCTTAGATGTCATGTTGACCTTGGCACGGCTCAGAATGTAGGTTTTGTCACGAATTAGAAGAAACAACGAAGGTTATTTCTTTCCACTTTTCTTCAGACCAGTGCCCCCGAATGCTCCTTTCTGGGCCGCCTTAGACCTCAGCTCCTTGAGTGCCTGTTCAAGCAGATAGTGACCAGAAAAAGTAATTTGTCAGCATTCCCATGGATTGATATAAAAAAGTTCCAAAGTTCAGGAAAATAAAATTTACCTTTTCTTCCTCTTTCTTCTTCTGAATATTTGATAGATCTGCCTGCAAATAGCAAAAAGAACATCTTAGTGTAGAAAATCAGAAAAACAGCAACAACAAAAAGTCTAAAATTCAAATGACAGTTAAAATGTGACATTGACAAACATAAACCAATACAAAAACAATATATGAAAGGATAAAAGAATACAACTACAAAGCACCGAAACCACTATGCCTAACCTGGAATACAGGAGAACTTGTTTGACCGAGTGTAAAATCACAATCATCATGGAGACTGAGTAATAGAGTTTTAAAGACAAAACATAAGCGGCATGAGATCAGTGATTTAAAAAGGCGCTTGGGTGCTCGCCTAGGCGCTCGGGCGAGGCGAGGCGAGGCCCGAGCACCTCGCTTCACTTCCAGGCGACGCGCTTCAAAGAGGCGCCGCCTGGGCGCTCGCCCGAGCCCAGGCGCTGGGCGCTTCGGGCGAGCGCCTAAGTTAAACCAGGCAACCGAACTAGGATTTTAGGTCCGGTTCGGTCTCCGGTGCTTTAGTTGGTTTAATCGAACCAGCTAAAACCGATATTAGCTGTCGCTGCCCAACCCTAACCCTGCTCGTTGCCGCTGCCGCTGCTCGCCGCTCCTGCTCCCACTCCCACTCCCGCTCCTACTGTCGCTGCCACTGTCGTCGCTTGCCGCTCCCATTCCCGCTGTCGCCGCTCGCCGCTCCCGCTCCCACTCCTGCTATCACTGTCGCTGCCTCCTTACACTCCCGCTCCCGCTCCCGGTGCCGTTGCCGCTTCCTCTTTTCTCAGTCAGCACCCCCTTACACTCCTCTTCCTTCTTCTCCTTCAGTATACTGTTAACAGTATACTAATAATAGTATTTGTATTTATTAGATTAATAATATATTATTTTAATTTTAATACTGTTAAATAATTATATTTATTAATTATATTATATATTTTAATATTTTAGCGTTGCGCTTCGCTCGGGCGAGCGCCTAGCGCCTCGGGCGTTTTTGGACCTTGGCGCCTAGCGCTTTTTAAATCACTGCATGAGATGCATACTCAACAAAGGTATCATAAAGAATCCTATTCCTTCCATAGTTGGGCATCGGAAAAAAAGAAGAAGGGTAAAATCAGAAAAAGACTGAATGAAGACGGCACCATTCCTCACCAGAGGCCCTGCCTGTTCCCATCGACCATAACACCTAGGTGAGCCTAGCAAATTCTTATGTATACTCACCTAGCAAGCTAACAAGGTAAAAGCTCAAGTCCCAAAGTGGGAGAAAGTCAGGCATAAGGCAGAAGACCATGTCAAAGTAGCTCCAGTGCTTGTTGACCTACAGAGAGGGGGGCAACTCACCTGATATGTAAATATAACAGAATGTGTTTCTTGATATCCAGACACAAACATGAGATGTTAACATAAGATCTATTGTGTGTTTAGAAGCATAACTATGAGGGAGACTAGTTCAGAAATAAGGCATCTGAACCAGAGACATGAGTCATTTGCCCTCATATCAGAGTTCTCATAAGTTAGAATTTAGAAACTCTTAACTTCATTTAGAAGAACATCAACAAGTACTTTATATACTTGCATTTACAATCTGAAGAAAACAGAAGTAGACTCCAAAAAAATTCCTATCTACTCCTTCACCTTAGCCACACTCCCCTTAGATGAAAAAGGTTAGAAAAATCGTTGGAAAATCTATAAAGTTATGACCCAGTTCTAGAATTAATCAAAAACCTATTCCTACTTCCAACTCAAAATCAATGAAGACTGCAACTCCAATAAGTTTTAAGTCGTCAAAACAAATCCAACTCGATATCCAGATTTTCAAAATGCCCTTTGTCAAGTCCAAATAGAATCAGGGCCTAAGACCCATACGGTGGCAAAAGATATAAAATATATCATGAAGCAAAATTTGCTAAGGCTTAAGACTTTGATGTTGTTTATGCTAGAGGTCAATTACGAAGCAAGAAATATTTTAGAAAGACAATTAAAATATCATGTGCATTTGCACATAAAGTAGGAAATCACAATGTAGAAGAAAAACAATGCTGCACAACTATATTGTACTGTAATCATTATTTAATAAGCTTAAAGCTTAAATTTAATAGCACATATTGAACAATTTCTTGAAATAATTCTGAGAGCACAGAGAACTTACAGGATAAGACTTTACTGACATAAGTTACATATTTCCATGTTTCAAAACACATTAGTATGTGAAGAAATTACCTCATGAAATGATTACATTTCACCGAAGTTGGATTTCTCCATGCTTCTAAGCAGTTGAGTTTGATTTATGTACCACAGTAGCACAATCGCATGCTAATTACAGGAGCCAAGAAACCAAGGAAACAGAACCATAAACAAAGTGAGCCACAGCCTTAAAACAAGGCATGTCCACGCCCCTGAAAACTCAGAACGACTTCATGTACTCCAAGAAATTACCTTTGTCCAAGTTCATCACAGGACTCACGAACCCTATCTAATTCAACACAAACATTTCTTTATTTCTTTCTTGACACACATTGAAGTCAAGGGAACTTTGGTTTTGTATTGATCTATCATATTACTTCACCAAACCAACATATCAACCTAATCGAACACATAAATCAGAACTTACAAAAAGACCAATAATAAAATCAACACCACGATCTCCAACACGTCAAAAGCTACAAAATCGCTGAACCCATGAATTAAAATTGTTATCTACAACCAACACGTCAGTCGCTATTAAAGCGCAATTCACAGAGCAAAACAGTCAAGAACATCAGATCATGCAGTTAGAGACACTTCCAAACTCTCAACTAAGCAAGCAATCGATAACTCGCCACCAATATAAACAATCCGTACATATCCGCAAAACGCACGTACCTCGTCGTATTCCTTCTTCTCCGATTTAGGCTGCTTGAGGGGCTTCAACTTCCCACCTGAACCAAGATCCGGGAGATCTAAATCCAAAGATACAGAAAAAGGGCGAGAAGAAGAAGAAACAAACAAAGAGAGAGCGAAACAGATGCCAACCCTGCTTGGACGACATTCTGATCGGGTGGGAAGCGACGATCGGAGAGGCAAAGGCAAGCTGAATCCCGGTTTGTGCTACGACGAGAGAGAGAGAGATCTACGAGGAAGTTTCCAGAGGAACAAGGCAAGTCGGTCATTTATAGATGGGGAAGACAGGAGTACACGTGTTCGGCTCCGAGGATGTCATGGTTGCTTAATTGTGCTTTCAATAGATGGGCCAATGGGTCGTGTGAGTTGGGCCGGGCCCATATTATGTCTACTACGACCCACGCACGTGTCCATCACCATGCACGAGTTTAATCAAGTTATATTACTGTTTGCCTCAAACGTATTTTGGATGATTATTAAGTTGATCTTTTGACTTTAAAGAGTTATTAGTAAACGAATTAATTACTATATGTCATTAGGTGGTGACTTAATTACCATGGCATCCAATGTCTTATTATAAATTAAATACCAGAACACACGAGGACCAAAGTTACAACGGGTTGGCAAAACAAGTTAAATTAAGAATATTTAAATATCTATTTATAGTCTCTAATAAACTCTTCTTATATCTTATATTTTGAGCAGAAATCCTACATTAAATCTTGTTGGAATCACATACAATTGAGAGCTTACAAGACAACAAACCGTAAAGGGTGCCTACATAAATAATGGCATCCTCAATATCCAATGTTCTATTTCTAAAACATAAAATATCGATTGTATCAGAAGGCGTAGATATCATACACAAAAAGTTGAATAGATGCAACCAAAATTTGATGTGAACAGTTAATGGCACTCGAGCTGCTGTAATGTGAATCTCGTTAGATCTTTGAGAATCCATCTGGATGGGAGCCATTAATGGCTTTGCATTCACAAGATTTAGCTGATGAAATGCTACTTCCCCTTGATCTTGCAGTATGCGTAGAAACCGGAGCCCACGAAACCAAGAACTTGGCCGATAATATTCAACTGGAGAGGAAACGGCTTGGAACTTGATCAACTGTGAAAGCAAAAATGCGTTACAAAAGGGGAAGGAAATTGAACTTACCACGTCGAAAGGAAGTCCCCCGAACAACAACCAGCCTAGTCCAACGGTAAATAGATCCTGAAGCAATACACAGATCAATTTCCATATAAGGGCATTGGAAATGCAAGAAAGAGAATGAAAGAGCAGCGTTGGCAGGGAAGACCAACCTTCAGATTGCCACACATTGTCTGTGTCAGTGCAGAGTTCAAGGTTGTGTTCAAGAAAATGCAGTAGTTCAAGAAAAATGCCAATATGCAGGAAAATATCATCACAACCTGCAAAAAATCAACAAGCAAATGCTTTATCATGGTAGATTTGGTGTAGGGGCCGTCTACTCGATATGTTTCGGTGGCATATTGAACATAGATGTATGACAAAGAAACCTGCCTGAAATCCAAGAGAATGCAGATAGGGAAAATTCATAGTAAGCTCCAAATCGCCACGAATATATGTCCAGAATAACAAAATTGGTCCACAAACAATTCCTGAAGAACAACAAGGAGAAATCAAATTTGTTGAATGATTCCAATCAATTAAAGGTTCCGAACTGGTTGTGGCCCTGGATTATTACCATTACACCACATGAGACCAAAGCTGTTGAGACCACTTGATTTTCCTGGAAAACAGATAACAAGCTTAAGGATGAAGACAAAGCCAGAAAACAAGAAAGCCCGATGGTAAGGATATGGATACTACCAACACGGTTTATGGTTGCCAAATAAATTGCAGTTGTCATGTTAGCAATGAACACCATGCCATAGCCATAAGCATCAAATGATAAGTCTCGAGCTCCAGCAACAAAAGCTCCAAGAACAATCAATGCAACACTGATAAAAAGCTTGGTCATGCCATTGAGAATCAAATAATAAAATGGATGGAAAAGCATGTATGATCTAAGCATTCAAATCAAAGCATCACAAGGATAGGTGCCCTACATGTTCCAATTCAAAAAATCATATGGATTTTACATACAAGGGATTTTGCCCTTGCACAAAAAAGTAAGTCCAGTTTTACCCAATAACCAACTCATGCTGTAGTACACATACGAGGCAATATTAAACACAGATGAATGCTGCTACATGTTTTAGTATATATATATATATATATATATATATATATATATATATATATATATATATATATATATAATTCATTACGAATTTGAGTCCTATGGTGCATAATTCACATGCAATTTGATGTTTGGTAATGTGTCAGGTTGCATGAGAAAGGAAAAGACACAATGTTCAATTTACCTGCCAACAACAGGATGCGTGTATTTTTGCCTTGTAAGTAGATACTCTACAATCATCGTAAACATGACGGTTGTACGCCTAAGGGTGGTATACATTGGAACATTTACTCCACGTACAGACTCCATAGTAGCCAACTTTCACCAAAAAAATGCATCATGTCATTTATAATTCAAATAGCCGTGGGCATAAAGTTATAGACAAGTTTATTTTCATTAAGCATAAATATTATGTACCATGTAAAGCAAGTATGCTATGGAAAGGGGAAGCGTATGAAATATGGTTTCAAGTGGCACAAAACTTCCTTTATGTGGTTCACCATTTGTGAAAGAAATAATCCTCCAGCGCCTCATTGCATAAAGAATGCAAGTTGAACTAATCATCTGCCAAATACAAGAACTTCATATGAGAAAATGAATATAAATCAGAATAGACATACAAGTTGAGTATCATGGGGGTTAAACTCGAGAAGCGTTTAAACTTTGCACATAGAAAAGCTGATTTCAATACATCAAAATTCTCTCAATGGACTGGTGAAGCAGGAAGGAAGGAAAGGTCTAATTAACTGGAGCTAACTTCCTTTATTTGGGAGGGAGGGATCTGCACTAGGGTTGAGATTTTATGTTTTATATTTCTTGTGGTAGATTTTAGTGGCTCCTATATTTATTATTTATTATCATCTCCATGATTTAGTCAGTGGAACTGACTGGTGGCCAATGAAAATTGTCTTGCTGTCTTGAGGACCCGCAAAATAGTGTGCTTCAATGGTAATAAATTATCTAGAAGCTAATTTTTGTCAGCAATTTGGTGATTCGAAAGATGTAGAAGAAAATATAATTGGCAAGAAAAGACAAAAAAAGAAAGAGAAAGAAGTTTCTGCTGCCAAACTAATTGTGTGCTTTATCAATTCCTGTATGCAAAAAATTTCCCAACCAAACAGACCCTCTTTAAATGAACTGTAGATGAGACTCTTATCCTAATCAAATACTGTAAAACAGGAACATAAGGCTCAAACAAGATTCTAAAGACATTTGATAATTTTTTATTTTTCAAAGAAGAATAACTGACTATATTTGTACATGTATGTGGATACCTATACTGCAAACAAAATCAAAATTTTAGGACCTCTTAGAACTCCTAAGCATTCTCTAAAAGCAATGAAGAGTACTGGTTTCGGATAAAAAAATTTAAAAAAGAGACAAAAAATAAACAAATGGCAAACCATTCATCTAGTACAAACAAATATTGGAAGTTCTAAAAAACAAAGAACACTTAACATAATGAGAAAATGGTTTTCAAGCTCATAAATAGATTGTAAGCAAACTAATCAAGTCATGCATATGTTTTTTTCTTTACCATGTCTCATTTTCTTCTTCAACACTGTTTTAAGATCATAAACCTAAAATTTGGAAAGGAGACAGGGTCTTGAATGAACCAACACTTGTAGAAAAATGGAAAGCTTAATGCACAAGGCTCCTACCAATATGGAGCTCCATGCACAGGGTCATGTAATGAAACAAAAACAGTAGTCATTCAAAATAAAAAAAATCAAAGGAGATACCTACGACAAGAATTAAAATCTCAGTCCGGTATTGATACCAGTCATCAATCGGACCAATACAACATCAATCATGAGTCAGTAAGGGTTGGTAGCAGTCAGTGCAGGAAGAGTCTAGATCGTGAAAACAATCAGCATTAACATTGAGGAAGTGCAGAGGCAGGAGGTGAGGGAGAAGTCCGCGACAGAGTGAATGACCAAAATGATGGGAAACTGGTAGGGGCAGCCAGTGGTGGCAAATTGGTGGCAGTGGAGAGAAAGGCAAAGCTGGTGTGATTGACATGGAGAAAAGTGTTTGGGGTGGAGAAAAAAATGAAGAATATAAAAGATGAAGAAAAGAGAAAAGTTTGGGATGATACCGGTACCATTCAGTACAGCATGGTATAGGTAGAGTTACTGAGCATACATCTGATTCTAGTAAACACATCAAGCAATAAGCCTTATCGAACTAAACTAGGCAAAATCATGCACTTGGTGCCAATTTGTCATCAGACTGGTACATGCCAATCTGTACTGACCATAACAATCCTTGATTGTTACCATAACAAAATATTTGAGTCATCAAGAGATAAAAATTCTAGAAAAGCACTATTATTTACATAATAGACCCAAGAAGTTTAAGACACAAAGGGAGAAAAACCAACTCATTATAATGATATTAAGAAAGAAAACAATTAGTACTATAAAAAGTGAGGTGTCTATGAATAACATTCCATCTAAATCAACCATGATACATGCATGTATATGTGGACTGAGCCAACACTTTCATAGAACCATAGAACTGAAAAGATAAACAGATCTTCAATAATGTTGTATTAAAGTTATTACATCCACAAATTGCTGCAGATGCAACACTTTTTGAAGTGCATCAACAAAGCACTTCAGTGCATCTCTATAGTAGGACTCCAACTATTTGGGTGAAAATTTCTTGGTACCATAGGTAGCGAGAGTCTTGAAAGGCACAAAAAGAGACCGAAGTCTAAAGAGTAGAGATAAATAGAGAAGTATAATAGGAACCTTGAAAAATAGTTGCAATGCAAGTAAAGAAATTATTTGTGGATATTTGGATCAAGTTAAAAATTAGCAAAAGAAACTAGAAGAATTATTTCCATCTGACTTTGGTATTAGAAATAACCATTGTTAAAGTAAAACTTAAAGCAAGCACAATTAGAGGAAAGTCAAGAAATACATGTAATGCCTATGTTCAGTTTAGTTTATTTTAGCAAGACCAACATGTGTCCTTGAGAATTATTTGACAGTATGGGACATGGAAGGTCAAAAAATAGAGTTACAACTTCAGAACAGATCTGAGTTGTTATCTGGACAGATCCAAAAACTTCTGGAAATGATAAGTTGTAACCCTATGTTCTGACGTAAAGGTGAGTCAATTAGTATCAGTATGAGTTGAGGTAAAGGAAAACTAATTTACTGGAAACAATAAAAAGGGATCTGAATGTCCTTGATTTAACTAGAGGAAAAAAGATGATGTAGTCAAACCCCAAATAATTGTGACACCACAACTTGTATTTGTTGTTGTTGTGAATAATCTCATCAAATCTCATTTAATGGGCTCTAATTCAGGATAAGCTCATGTCAATAGCTTAATTAACTTTAATAAACCAACCAAAATTAAAAAGAACTGTTCTCCATGAACAAAATTTGAAATGAACTTTAGAAACATTCTAAAACAACAATTAAAATTGACAAAAACACATAAAAACACAAGGACAAATAACAACTAGGTTCAACTAGGATACAAAGCGAACCTATCCTACATAAATATCCAACCACAATATCGCATTATAAATGTCAAATGAGGCAACCACATCTCTGGAGGCCTGGTCTGAGTGCAGTACATGCTTAGAATTGAATCATATATGGGTTAATTTCAGTTATCTATTTTATGTACTCCTGAAGACTTGAAGTAAATACTGCTCATTGTATGTGAAAGGTCCAATACATAATATTTGTCAATATAATTTGAATTTGACTAGGGGTTCACCTGATGAGCAGTTTACAGTTCATAAAATACATTAGTTATAAGATTTGTGGAAGGTTTGGTGGACCTAGTGTGAGTAAAACAGTGGTTATCTTTGTAGGGATGATAACTGATTATTCTGATAATATGATTTTCAACAAGCCTTAGAGGCTTAGCCTCTTTTCCATGATTTCTAGCTCATCTTTTCTTGTACTCCCATTTTTACTTTATACATTTCTTTATGCCTAATATAACTGTAGTTTTGCCACCATAGCTCACAGAACCTGATCATAGCCATCCTATCATTGGTTGATTTCAACTATTTCTATCTTGGTTGAGTATATTTGAAATCAACCTGCAATGGTATTATCAACCTAATGGGTTACTTACAATAAGTGATCAGTATAATTTATTTCACAAAACTTGAGATACTCAAGTCACCACCCAGGGGCAAAATTATGGGAGATATATCATACCTGGAAAAGTGTAATAACATTAGCACAGGGGAAATTGTATGAAGATAGAGCTGCTTTGTTGAATAAAACCAGAAGCACTGCAAAGGGTATGACAAAGGCAAAAAGTACATGAGATGCTAACATAAAAGAAGAAAGGACAATGCTAGACCAATAAGAAACATTATCAAAGATGAAAATTTCAAAATAAATTACTGTCAAACATAACATGTGATAATGCTAAGCCGTTTAGCTTAGTGTTTTAAATTATTTAATGCAAATTGCATTCATCAATAACATGCAATATTTGTGTCAGCTCCATTCAACAATTAAAACGTATGCATTTGAAATGATCAGGCAGCCACGATGGGAGTCCTAAATTTGTTTAACCCTCACATAAGCAATAAAATTTTACGGCAGGAAGATGATGCAAGCCAGCATATATAGGGTGAGAAATTGCCACTTCCCTCTTTCATCCATTCATTTCATCAAACCGAACTTGGAAGTTGCAATCCAATGCTTCAAAATGACAGAAGCAGCTACGTGTTATGAAAACCCAAAAAACTATGATAAGATTAGATTAGTCTTAATATGTCATCACCTCCCAAGTACCTGCCATGTAACTGGCTAAAAACAACCAGAGAAAATACTCAAACCCATATTTATTGCATTTTTGTCAGCTGTGAAACAGTACAATTGTTTTTCCGCCACTCAGCAGCAAGAAAATTAACCTAGATTAACTCTCCCAGTCGGTCTTCCTTAATTTTTTATGTTCTAGCAATACAATGAGCAAGATCGTACCACCCACTCAAGACCCTTGAATTCACACGATAACCGCTACAAAGCACGTGTCAAGCCATATCATATTGCAGAAGAGCTTCAAATCTGATGCACCCTCGGAATCGAGGACAAGATGTTCGAACAAATCAAAGGTCTCGTGTTCCAACTTCGGAAAATATTTAGGGTACCTAATTTATTGCAACTGATAATATCCAAGACCTTTTCTAAAGATACGCAGAGAACAAACGATTCGAGCACAGAACAAAGGAATTCCAGATCGAGCAACGCAGAAATAGGACAGAGAAGGGACAGACCTGCGCAGGCCATGTAGGAGACGGCGGCGAAGGCGCCTCGCCTGGTCATGCCGGACCCCTTGAAGAGGGGCGCGTTGTCATCGCTGCCCCGCAGCGACGACGGCGGCGGCGGCGAGGGATCGGACACCGGCAGCCGCATCACGCCCTTCGGCGCGATCTCCCTGTCGATCGAGAAATCTCCCTCGATCCAACGAAGCGATCGACGGACTCTCTCTCTCTCACTCTCTCTCAAAAACACGACAGCGAGGAAGGGAAGACGAAAAAACAAACGAGCCGTCGATCCATTCGTCGTCGCAAATAGAAGAAATAGAAGGAATCTTTTCGGTGAATTATTCTTAATTTCTTATTTTGCCCACTTTCTTCGACTCTTCCTCCTTCCAAGTCAAAGGTGCATCGCGATGACCGAGTCAATCGAGATGCACGACATCATCGATCACATTCCAGGTTGAGTTCGATCCGTGTTCTATGATTATTTTTGGAGTTTAATTCAGATTAATTGAAAATTCATCCTCTTACTTCTTTGCTAATTTGATATTATAAATTGATAGGATTAATATTAAGATCAATAATTGGATTAGGGCAATCCATAAATATTTAAGATAAAATTTATCTATATTTATATGTGAATATTTTTTTTTAAAAAAATATATTTTCATTATTAGATATAATAAGATATCATTTATGTAACAATGCACTAATTAATTTGAATGTCTCAACGACCCTTTCATATGTGAATATTATAACTTGAAGTATGTAAAATTTTTAAACATTATTAGAACTTGAGTCAAATGAATTGTATAAGCGAGTTGATAATGGCATGACATTCAAATGTTCCCATGTTAGATTCTACCATCTATCACCTATATATAAATGCTCTAAAAAATACTCACCACAGTCGAATATTGTTTCTCTTAAGAAGAACACAATCATTTATCAAGCATCTGATCCAACCAAAAATTGCAAGCTTATAAGAGGGATATGTAGCTTGGTTTTATTACAATCTTATCAAACACAGAATCAAGTCATATTAAGTCAGCTAACAAATAATTAATCTTTGCACATCAAAACATTTGTGCTGTCATGCAGTTAATAGGAGAACAACACAATTTATTTTAGCAAACTTGTATTTTTCTCTGCCAAATTCACTGAAGAATCATCCAAAATGTTGGATAATTAGCCCTATAGATCGCAAAGCATAATAAGTTAAACAACCTAGGCTTGGTTAATTACCTGCAAAAAATTCTTGGGGCAAAAGACTACTAACAATATGAAATCAAGAAAAAAATTACCAGTCAAGCATGCTACTGGAAGATAGGCATAGAACAGAGTGATAAGGCAGACCTCTAAATGTATATTTGGGTACTGGAGGTGTGTGCCTAATACCTTAAAGCAGCTGCATGCAACAAAAATCTTAGATGTCAGGTGCTTACTCTAATGCTAGAATAAAAGAAAGGCAAAACATCATTAATTTAAGACAGCGCCAGATATTTCACTTGAATAACGATCCAAGAGAAGTTGCGGTTCAAACAAACCAAACATTTCTGCATTTATATCCACATCAAAGATTATCAAACTCTGCCATGGGATACTTCTTTTCCAACATACAAGAGGCAACAGCATATGATGGCAAAGCCTGATGGGGACTACATGACATGATTGCACATGAAGGCCGCGAAACTATAGTTAAGTCTGATGTAAACAGAGACAACCGATTTAAAGATCAACACCAGTTATTGTTGTGAGAAATTGATAATAATGCAGATTCTGCTGCATACCTCAGTTAGCCAACCAACAATTAAGGTTATGACAGAGAGAGTGAAAGGGTTAAATACTGTGATGCAATTATTTGCATCACCTCTGTGGTTGATCTGAATTAGAGGCTCCAGCAGGGAGCGGTGCGGAGATGCTGCTTGCCGATCCATTGTCCGTAGGTGGGTTAACACCCCATTTTCCTTCAGATTCTAACGGCTCTAGTACATGTACACCACCATCTGTCAGACCCAAGGCAAACTGGTTTGGTTCTGATGGATGTGCAGCAATCACAAGAGGGTACAAAGTTGTGCTGTCAAAAACAATTATGCAGTAATCAGCAATTGTCTATCTCATGAAACAAAGTTCAGTTTCAGACTGGTACAACATCAAATGCAGGTAAAAGTGCAGAATATTTATGTTGAAGAAACAAATATAACTATTCTTGGCCACATTAACAATGCATGCATCAAAAATACTAGCAGTTTAAACTCAATCCATAAAATGTATGACTTTTTTGGATCACTTCCATCAGTTATCTTACTTGTGCCTTGTTAGAAGAATGGAGCCTCGGGAAAGCATGCACACATATAGATAACAAAATGAACAAACAAAATATAGCATGCGGCACAACAAACTACGTGATGATCCTAGTGAACAAGCAAATGAAACATTAAAATCAATAATCAAGCCACATTTGCATTGTTCAGTAATGATGAACACCATGGCTCCACACAGACTTAAATACATCAATTATTGTCTAAGAGAAAAATGAAAAAAGAGAGATTCACAAAAATGATTTTTTGACATACCTGACACTGGCAGGGAGATAAGCAGCTGGAAGGATCCGACATCGCAGCCTGAAGTTTGTGGCATTGAATACACATATGGTGGCATCTAAGAAACTAGCATATATCAACTGACTGTCACAAGAAAATGTTGCATGTGAAATGGGTGCAGAACCTTCACGAGGAGCCCACTGAAAGACAAAAGGATCAATTCAATAGAGATTAACAGAACCTCTAGGTCCCCACATTCACAATTCGACATGAATACCTGTTTCACACATTCTAGTTTAGTAGTTTCATACAAAGCAATCTGGGTCTCATGCACAGCTAGGAAGTGTATCTGATCTTGATGGAACTGAACTCGTGTATCTGAGATGGCTGCTGGAGTACGCCCAGGGGGAATTTGCAGAAATCTGCTTCTGTGTTTCTCCCACCCATCAGTTCCCCACAAACAAAGCTGCAGCCAAAAAAAACGGAAGAAGATATCCATTTTAGGAGATTAGCCTTCGATAGAAAATCATATGTGGAGTCATTATCTTCATCATAGATGCCCGGTTAAACACAAGTGAACAAAATAGATGCCCCACTATCTGCACCATGAAGAAAGGATGTCACTAACCTGAGCATCAGCTCCAGATGAGACCAGCACATTTAAGACATTTGAAAAAGCAAGACCAGTAATTCTCTTTGAGTGGCCTCTAAGTTTGCTCTTGACCTGCATAAGCATAAATTATATGAACAACATTCTTTCTTCACCCGAGAGTGTCACATGTTATCTTAGCGGCAAAGTACCTCATCAACTCGGACATTATATATCTGAATTGTAGAATCTTCCATTCCTATAGCAATTATATTATTGTCTTGTGGATGAAATGCAAGAAAAGTTGCTGCAGGTGGAGGCGCCATGAATGTCGTCATAGTCTACCATGTAAAACAAAATCGTAAATCTTAAATGTAAGAGTTAATCCATGATGCACTATGTAATCTTTGTCTAACCTTAAATGTCATCATATTGAATAGAGATATTTTCCCTCCTGATGCTGACATAACATAAGAATCGTTCTTTGACAATGCAAAGCAGTGGACTGCTTCTTCAGGATTTGTGTCAGTTATCTCATTAGTCATCAATATGCCACTTGGTGGTTGCCACAGTTGAGGGGCAACACTTGCTGTTGCCTACAACATAAGTATACCTCAGAAACATTATCACCAAAATTTTGGATTTGAGTTACACAAATAAAATAAACAATTTATTACTTCCTTTACCTTTCCACTCGAATTGCGTTCATTACGAGGCCACTTCCAGAGTAGGTGAATGGCATTTGATGCTAAAGCCAAGATTGCAATTCCAGAGTTGGTGTAAATCAATCTTGAAATCTGTAATATAAATTTCTACTAAGGACCTTGATAAGCAAGATAGAAGAACTTTTAAGTGCCAATGGTAAAAGAAGTCATCTGTCTGACATGTTTATTTGAGGTGAGAAGTAAAAACTCGATTAGCCTCTTTTGTCAGCAGATTATCCCATGTCATACATGCATCATCAAGTCATCACCCCTTTCCCATCTGGGACTCAGATGCAGACCAGGTTGAGTAACCTTGGGCTCAAAATGCCCATCTGAGGCCAGCTTGAGTGATATTCAGCTGGAACTGCCCAGACAGGTACTGGGCTAATCTGGTCCAAGTTAGGCCAAGGCCACACAATGAATTCGGACTGGTGCCATTAGTTTAACTAATACACAGACAGAATTTCATAGATTTTATAAGTAGGATATTGTGATGATCTCTTGATCGCTATGTGAAAAGATAGTGATGGAGGGCAGATGGATGAGTAGATGACAACTTTAACTACAAACTCTGTTGTTCTACAGAAAGTAAGCCCATGACAGACTTTAGTAGAAAATTTCATCTCAAATGAAAGAAAAATTTGAAAGAACTTCTCAGACCTTATATATTGAACTACATTTCATAACCTGATACCCATCACCAGGCAATAAAAAAATGGAAATATGGCTAAAACAGGGAATTTTATTTAATGGATTGGCTCAAAAAATAAAAGCAATCAAAATATTAAGAATATTTTTATAGAATAAGAACATACATATTATAGAATAATTCATTACTACGGTTAGTTTTCTTGAGCATATTGTCACCAAAGCATGTGACACATATTTCAAATTCATCAAAAACAGAATCATAGCACATGTAAACGATGGACTGCAATTTCGCCCAGACCAGTCTGTACCAACTAGTATTTACTGGTCTGAGCGTGGACTAGTACATGGACCGCCCCCATTTTGGACGGTTCAGTCCATTTAAAAACTAAAAAGTAAAAGTTATATGTTATAAACCCCAATCGCTAGGGCTCAGCTGCTCTCGCCACCATCCTCTCGCCACAACCCCTCATCTCATCCCGAAATGCTCACCACTGCCAGCCACCCTCCTCCTCCTCCTCCTTGTCTTCCTCCGCTTCTCCCTTCCTCTTCCTACATCCCCTCCTCTTCTTCATCTGTCCTCTTTCTCCACTATCTCCTCTTCTTCCTTCCTCCTCATTCCTCTTCCGCTCCCTCTTCCTCATCCTTCCTCTTTGGTACATACCGATGTACCATGTGTTGGTACATCGACACTAGTTGTTATGTACCAGTCTGGCCAGGAGGAACTGGAACCCTTGATGTAAACCATATAAAATATCTGAAGTTTGTCACACGCAGGAATATGGCGACCTCATATATGAGCAGTACTTTCAAGTTTCAACCTACTAAGTAAATGAACAAAGGTCCAGGCTCAAAATGACACAAAATTGTAAAATGTTGTAAGAAACAAAAAAATAAAATCAGGTCCACTTTCAACAATTTATGAGAACTGCCCAGGCAAAATTCAACACACAACACCAGTTACGATATTGATAAATGAAATAGATCCAGTGAATTCAACCGGTGGAGATCTAACCTTGCTTGTTCTAAGATTATCCACGAGCCTTAAAGATCGACATTGAGTTGGTTCATTGACTTCAGTGAGCTTCCAGATCTTTGATTTGTCCATTGATTCATCAGTAATTCTAGGTTTTGCATCCACCAAGTTTCTGCTATCTCCATTCTACAAAAACAATAACAGTTTTAGCATAGTATTAATCTTAGAGGTTCCTGAATTCAACTGGATGACAAGAAAGCATGGTTCATGGTATTAGACTGATCATTTAGAAGAAAATTGCATGTGGAAGAACAATTCAGAGACCATTCCAGCAATTGCCATCGGTGGAGTAATTATTCCAGAACTTGTTGCAGCAGAAGCAGCAGCAGACAATGGGCTTATCACAGGCTGCACAGTAGCATCCATAATGTCATATCATTCTCACTTTATGTCAAGAACAACTAGTTAGCCAGAAAGGGCTACCTTTGTCACTGTTTCTGAAACAGTCCTAGAGGCATCAAAAGAACGATTTTCAAGTGTGCGCAACAGACGAAGTCCATCAGTATTTGCCAAAATTTTAATTCCATTATCATGCGTAGAAATGGCCAATAGTGTTCCTTCCTTGTTGAACCGAATCCTTGGACTTGCCTGAAGTTTGAAATTGAAGAGATATAAAGAGGCCATTATTTTAAGAGAGTTTATAATACATGAAGCCACCAAAAAGAGAGGATACCGGTAGGCCACCATCAGCATCAACAGTAGTTAGTATATTAGTATTGTCCATATCCCAGAACTTTATCAGAAACTCATCACCAGCAGCCAAAAACCGGTTCCGTGTGGTATCAAATTGCACAACACCCAGAGAACGTTTTCGAAATCCTTGATATGTTCTCTTCACAGCTCCTTCACTTTCATTCCACTCCACAATGAATGTTTCCCCTTCTTTACTGGTCCCACATGAAAAAAGTCTACAGAAATTAAGAGAGAACATTCAGTGAGAAATACAGAACCATGGGATATTATTCCACACTATACTAGGAAAAACAACAGTCCTGGAAATATACCTTGAACCATCAGCACTGTAAGCCATTGTAGTACACCAGTGTCCTGGGGCATCATAATCCACCCTGGATCCCAAATTGTCATACAACCATGCCTTTATTTTCCCATCTAATGCTGTTGAAAAGATGAACTGCACAATAAAAGAAGAAAAGGGTTAATAAATCTTACAGAATTTATCAAGCTCATTCAAAATAGCAATCCATAATCAATTTGACTTAAATAAAGGCTGAAATAGGTTAAATAAATAAACTGCCTGGATGTTTTCCTTGTGATGTGGGCAAACAGAATAAACAGGTGCCTCATGCCCTTCAAAGGTGTACTGCTTTGTGCCACTAGTTGCGTCCCACACCTAATGTAGCACAATATGTATAAAGCTTCAAGCGAATAAACAAACATACTTCAGATATTTTTCATTCTTCAGATGCCAACCTTAATTGTCTTGTCATCGCCACATGTTATTACAGAAAGCTGCTTACTCGGATAAGCAAATGCAATATCATTAACACCACCAACATGAGCCTCAATCTGCAAATTGGATGTTGAAGTAAGCCATAAATAAGCATAATTAGAGCAAGGAATGTATTTAAAGTTGTAGCTATTGCTTTTCAAACCTCCAGGTGCTGCCTGATATCATCGCCACCATGATAAGAATATATTTGGACAATGTGCCTTGAATAAGCAACACCTGCACAATGATTAGAAAGTATTAGTATGAGAAGTCACTGATAGTATGCTTTCTTTTGGTGCATGGAATTAGCTTACCAAACAAGGAGCCATCTGGGCTCCATATTATGCGATTAACTGATACAGCAGGATCCTTAACCAAAGAAGCCTAACACAAAGCCAAGCCACGATTCATGTTACAACACAAAAGTAAGCTTGTATCAGAGGCAAAACAAGAAGAAGTGCATTGTATCTATAAATGGAAAAACAGACCTGAAGGGACATGGAGCAAGATCCAAGTTCCCAAACCTTGAAGTTCTTAAGAATTAATCTCTCCCTAGTGCCGACATCCCATAATGCAATGTCACCCACATTTGTTCCAACTATAATATATAAAAAACACGAAAAAACCAGCCTCAGCAAGCGATGACAGAAAAAAAATGCTAATACCTCAGAGGAGAACAACCACGACAAAGAAAAATGTTCTAAGAAAGCACACCGAGAAGAATAGTCTGCTGAACTGGATGAAAATCCATGCTCATGGGATTCGAGCCTTGGCTCAGGGTTCGTGCAACTGTTTTTGGCAAGTCCTCCAGGGTGTATGTAGCCTGGTTGTGGCTCTGAGGATAGGAAACTGGAAGTATATTCACGGGCAGATTTACCTGAATTAAGTAGTCAATATTAAAGGCAGAGTTAGGATCACCAAGCAAGCAACATCATCAAGGAGAAAAGCTATGAGGTTTTGGGTAGAAAAATCCAGCAGACCTCATCAGAAATCCCAATGGGTCTTGTTCTTTTAGATACATGGTCAGAATCTGCAGATGCATACTCTATACCAGGGTTCGCCGTTGGAGGAGTCCTTGGATGCTTCAAAATTGCAACTTCAAGAAAGGAAAAAATAACCATTCAAATCAAATGACTTTTCACAATAATCTTCTACTAATAGCTAATATAGAATCCACAACGTTACCAGGATTTGTAGGTGCATTCAGTCCAATAGCTCCACCAGAAACAGCTGGATGGGTTACAGCTGAAGGGTTAGACATCCAGCCAGCCAGGGGCATAGGAACTGGTGCTGGCGCAGGTTGAAAAGGCTAAAAAAGACCAATATATTGAACATTTGAGAGAAATATCATGAAAACAGTACACATGTAATTAAAATTTTGGTAAATTACCCCATGAGCACCCAATGGAGGAAATCCTCCTGCTTTGGGCATGGATCCAAGCAGTGAATTGTTCACTGGTGATGGAGCAAGTGCACCATTTGGTTGCCCACATGAATGATCAACAAAAAGTGTTTTAATATCTGGATTTGGCCGAGGGTTTTTGCATAGCTGGTGCTGCCAGTTCAAACTGCCAAATCATATAATTATTAGTGAAATCAAGTGCTCATTAACAAAACCCATATGATCACATAATTGAAACCAACTTGTCAGACCAAATCAGTCAAAGACAGATCTAAAACAAGCTTCTATATGCACCATGGCAAGCCTTCATTGACGCAATTCTAGTTCAGCCCTCTTCTTTAGTCATTCAACCCAGGCTGCTGCCTATATCCATCACATTGATGTCTCATCAATTATATTCAGGAGATAACCTGCACATCTTATTCTTCACTAAAGACCTTTACAAACTAATGAACAAAAAATTTAAAGCTTATTTTAGGTCACACTAATTAAGCAGTTTATTTCATCAAAAATCAAGAAATAGGCATACATCCATTGATTTCCCATTATCCAATGTTGATTACCTCAAAGACAGAATTAACTGATAATCACAATATTCCCTATTTCATTTTTCATCTTCTTTTGCTTGCTTAACCAATCAACAAAAGCAAGTCCATGTACATGATTATTTTTCAGTATGGTTATGATGACAATAAAAAATCAAGAGGAGAAGCTTATTTTGGTTGTTAAAAAAAAAAAGAAGAAGAGGAGGTATACTCTGCTGATCAGCTGTGGTAGAAAAAAAATTGGTAGATTGAACATCAAGTGAAAAGGATCAAATGATATTCTTTGATTACATTAATAGGGTAAGATATATCTAAAACAAAACAATTATTTGTAGAAACTAAGAAATGTTCCAATTTTTATTCAATATGCTCAATTATGTAGGTGAAACAATTTTGAGCTTCATTAGGTCATCCTTAAATAAACATATCATTTCTCTCCCTCTTCGGAAAATTACAAGCACCAAAAATGGAAACCTGAGCATGGCAAACAGAAAAGCAAACTATGATACCCTCTAACAGTCTTACCTCTGGTTGATTAGGGTGCGCAATCTAGAACTTTTTAGGTTTGGAAACTGAAGTTTATCTCTGAATAGGGGGTTTGCTTCAATCAGCTTCTTAAGCTCAACAAGCATTATTGTCCGTGCTGATTTTGTGTCCCCATATTTGGAAAGTTGCTCATTTTCCCTGAAAAGCAATCAGGCTACTTATAGAAGAAGAAAACAACAAAGACAAAATAAGCCATCGTAGCTGCATACAAAAGTAAAACCTCAAACCTGAAATTCTCCAAAGTTAAAAGTTGTGTGATTTCCTTAAATAGCTCCTCGTTAAATGAGGCAAAGACCTTCAAATCCTTCACAAGGATTTCAACTGCCTTTGATCGGTCATGCCTGGATGATAAAAACAAAGAACATTTTGTGAATACTGTTCTTCATAAATATTAAAAAAAAAACCTCCGAAGCCTACTTGTCCAACGCTTCAAGATACTTCTGCTTCCGTATTTCAAAGAATATCTTCATCGAATACCGGTTGTCATCAACCTTGGTGAAGCCAGAGAGGTAACGCTCCACGTTATCCCAATTCCCATTATGCACCTCATCCTCAAAATACTTCATATTAAAATAGAAGCCAGACTCCTGTTCAAGCCTGCATCCAAACCCCACAAGAATGCAAAAGAAATCACACGATAACTAACAGAAAAGGCCGTCAGTCAACAAAAAAATTTAATTTTTGACAAGGAAATCAACTTGTGAACTGTTTCTTTGAACTTCTCCTCATCGAGAAACTGCAGGATCAGAAACACAAGCTCTCTACTGAGAGATGACATAGTGTTGCCCCAGTCTCCACCTCCAAAACCCTAATTCTTCAGCCAAAAAAAAAGGCAAATCAAAAGATTAGATCTTCCGAACAACATGAAATCCGAAAAAAGGATCCAATTTTGGAGCACATCTCACACCCAAAATCAGAAGCAAGTCAAAAATGGAGCCCATGGACGAACCCAAAGTTGGCCCAGAAGCAGAGATAATCAAGAGACCAAAACAAGAGCCGCCAAAATCCCTTCTTTTTTGCTTTAAAGAAGACATCTAAGTCGGGCAGCGGAATCATGGACCAAAAGCTTAGGGTTCCAACAGATCGGTGAAAGAAGAACTGCACTCCAACAAGCGCTAATCGAGGAAGAAGAGGAAGGAGAAGGAATAGAGAAAAGAAGGCCAGAGGAGAGGGGAAAATGGGGAAAGAGCTGACTTTTGCTCGATGATTCCATCGAAAAGGGGAAAGATCGAGGCAACGATCCCAGCTCACCTGCAAGTAAAAGACCGGGCGGTGGATGGGGAGAGCGATCGATCCGAGCGAGGCAAAGACCGGCGACGACGAGAGAGACGACCAATAATTTAGATCGAAAACTGTAGAAATCGGAGGGGGAAAGAGCCAATAAAATAGAAAGAATTATCATCTCCACTCTCGAAACAGAGGCCGGATTTAGACAGAGGCACTCAGGGATACGATCGCTTGCTTATCACCTAGATAACCAGTTGTCCTTATAACCCCGAAGCTATCAACGGACTGATAGGGCAACTAATGCGTGGGGCCAACCGTGAGACGGTGACATTACTGATGATTTAACACAGCGGAAACCCATACGATTTATCAGCCGTTCGATCTCAAACAGAGGATTTCTCCGTATCCAATAGGAGAACGACACCGAGAACATGCACTTCTATTGGATATGCGGTACGTGCGATTCACCAAATCCAACGTAATTGGGTTGACCGAGTCAAAGACTTATAGATGTGATTTGGGCATGTTTCTTTCTACAGGTTTCACAAAATTCTGAGACTATTATCAGATATATATATATATATATGACACATGTAAAGATCTTAAAAATGATTATACAGATGAACGATTTATTTTATTATTTTCATGTAATTAATCATGAACACTGGTGAGTTAAACAGCTTTAGCTCAACAATATACCATAGATGGGCTTAGCCAGTGTGACTCGGCCCGTTTGGCCCATCTTGTTGGCTCAACAATAGTGTACGAGTTTGCCTCGGAATTGCCTTTCGGGCGCTACTTATGGACTCGAGTCGCGAAGTAAGCATTAGTGTTGGGTTCAACCAGGTAAGTGTTTGAGACCGAACGTCTCCGCGCGCTGTTCTCCTTCCCTGCCACGCTTCGGCTCACTCTCTCTCTCTCGCGGGAAACCCTAGGCATCCCCTCCTATACTCCTACCTGTTGCGTGCAAGTCGATCGGCGACTCGAACAACCAACGACCAGCATTCTCCCAGCGGTGGCTTCGGTGCAACGCGACGCCTTCTTCCGGTACCTCCTCTATCGTAGCTCTCTCTCCCTCTCTCTGGCGATCTTCTACTCGCTCGACTCCGCCCTTCTTCTCTATCATAGCACCCCACCACCCCGGGAGGCGGTCCCCGCTGCCCCTTTCTTTAGTGGACTCTGTTTGATTCGTTCGAATTGTGGAAGATCTTTGTTAGTGTTTGAGAATTAGGATTTTTCCAAGATGAATTATTGTGCATGTAGTTATTTCACAAAAAAAAGGAAAGATACTGACACAAAAGGGGCATTTTATTATTTGATCATGGTTATTGTTTATTTTTCTTGTCCTTCTTGAATGTGCTAGTGATTATTTAAATCAAGGATTGCAACTTCCTGTCGATCTAATGTATGCTTGTTTCTTTCTCTTCGATATGTTTTCACTTGTTTATCTGGGTCAGTTCTTATTTAATGGTTAACTGCAATATATGACTATATAATATATTTGTTATCGTTTACTATTCGCAGATGGCATTTAGAGGCCGGGGCAGGGGCCGAGGTGGTCGTGGTCGTGGTATGGGTGCAATTTATGACACCCGAATTGCAAAGCATGTACCTTATGAAGAATTCCCGGTTAGTTGGCCTCTTCTTTCGATTGGATGAGGACATAGCAGGACAAGAGGACAAATTTATAGTGATCTGCTTATATTTTGGTCTTTTATCGTGATTCCATGTTGACCTAGCAAAGGCAAAGTACAAACTTAGAAGTGGCCTTTAATCGTCCTTCTCATTCATTCTATGGTGACATATTAATTGTTATCATGACTGCTGTAGAATTTTAGCACCTTTGAAGGTTCTGTTTTGGAACTTGTAATATGAATAAAATCTTGTTTTTGAAGATGGATAGTATGCTAGCTACATGTAAGTAATATTTTTTTTGCTTGTTCAACGAGTAGCATCTTTTAGGAGGCTTTCAATTAACATAAACTGTAAGGTCTATGAATGAGCTTCAGGATGAGGCTGGTTCATCTTTGCAGATTTTTATAAAAGAACAACCCAAAGTTTTTGTTTTTCTACTAAAAATTTAAATTTGGCTATTGTCTGTTGAACAAGTAGCATCTGTTAGGAGGACTTTCAATTAACATAAACTATAAGGGTTATAAATGAGCTTCAAGATGGTTTTCCTTGGAAAAATCAGTTCAACTTTGCAGATTTTTATAAAAGAACAACATAAAGTTTTTGTTTTACGACAAATTTAAATTCGACTATTGCCTGCTGAATAAGTAGCATCTGTCTTAAACTATTAGGTGTATGAATGAGCTTCGAGATGGCACTTCTTGAAAAAAAGTTCATTTTTGAAGGTTGTTGTAAAAGAACAACCTAAAGTTTTTTGCTTTTCCACTAAAAACTATGAAGCCCTATTAAGATTAAGATATTGGTTTTGGAAACTCACCTGAACTTAAACTTAGAGTTACCAGTCCGGTCCTGCACCTTAAATATGTCTTTGAATGCTTGTATGAACTGTTGCTGCCTTGTGGTATCATAAATTACATTATATGACTAGAGACAGAACTGCTAAAGCAGAAAGTTTGAGATCATTGACACATGGATTCAAACTGAGAGGTTTTTTGTTCAAGAAGCTGAACTTTTCAGCTTAATGAAAACATACTCACAAATAGTCATACTCATAAACCTGCTTGTCTTCATGTATTCAACCTTATAGGTTTAAAGAAAAGACCTTTAGGCGTTATCAGGTTTTCCCTTCCATTATCTTATGGAATTGGTTTCACCTATAAATTCCTTGTGCCCTTTGTCTTTATCAATTATCAAGAATGGCATTGTGAATTTTTTAATCAACTTTCTTGGTAAGTGACAAGAAGCTTGTTTAGGACATACATTGGATTCATTAGAGAGATTATTATTTCATATATGACCTCGACGAGCACTGGTTAGAGAGATCTTACTAAAAGCACCACTACCACTGGCAGCAGAAACATTGGTGAAAAATATAGTATTTGGTATCTTTGAAATATAGGATGTGAATCAGTATCATGTTATCTACAGGTCGTGCAGCAGATCGTACTAAATAGCATGTGATGATTGTTATTCTGCAGGAAGATGTTACTTTGCCTAGTGTGCCTAGTGTTGATCCTTTATCAAATGAAGTAAAAGCATTGATAGCATCAAAGATAAAGTTGGAATATTTCTGGAAAGGCTCTTGCTACAATTTGCAAGAGGGAGGCTCTAAATCAAGTAAGGATCGAGCTCTGGATTCTTTGTTACGTTCTTTAACAATTTATCATCTTAAGGTTAATATTTGTTTTTGTCTTTTACATTGGAAAATGTGTGTTATCAGAAGTAACATAGGTTATACAAAACTAATAAGTATGCCTTTTGTACTATACTTTGATAAACTACTTTTGACAAACTCAAACATATTGCAAATGCAATAGAGTTGTTCGTCGGACCTATTTATCTGGATCTGGTTTAAGTGTGATCCTTACTGATTTGATCCCAACCTGATACCAAAGTACCATAGTTTTAATATAATCAAATATGGTCACCACTAGAATTTCTATGTTTGCATACCTAATCTATCTCAGGCTGGCAATTCTTGGTTCTTTACCCTATGTTTTTTAAATGCATAGCATACTCTTTATATTTGACCATATTAGCTTGGGCTTGGTATATAATGTGCAGTGATTGATATGCTAAAGCATGGGTATCCCACACTAATATTCTATAGAGAAATATGCTACGTGTTACATGATCTAGATTTTTAATTCATCCGTTTTCCATTTTGTTTGTTGTAACACGTATGCTGTAGGGATGAAGTGGGTGGGACAGTTTCCATCTAGAACAGTTTCTGTGATTGATTGAAGTTAGATATGGTGTGTGTTTATCACATGTCCATATAGGTGTACAAACATTTCGGTTTGAAATCTTCTAGATGTGAAGATGATATTGGGTTCAATTGAAATCAAGGTCTAAAGTTTCGGTGCAATTCAAATCGGCATACTGGCACATGTTATGCTAGCATACCGGTCAGCATTGAGAAAGAGGAGCTAGAGAATGATGCATAGAGGACTAGGAAGAGGAGGTGGAGGAAGAGGCTGAGGAGAAGAGGCACCAGGTGGGCCAACGACTGGCAAAGCCAGCAACAGTTGGTGCGAGAAATAGGGTTGAGGGCTTGGGAGACAGAGAGGGCATTAGTAAAAAGTTTTTAATAAAAACCCTAAACCAGATTGGACAGTGTGAAAAGCCCAGGTATTCGTACTATGGTTCAAAATTCTCTAGAAAGCCTTGTAACTTTTATAGAGAAGTACCGATCCCAAAATACGCAATTAAGTGAATCAATAAGTTTTATAATAAAAATCAAACCTAGAGGTCTAAAATATTGTCCGCTATGTATATCATAATTCCATATGAGAGGATTCATGGATATATATACCTCTTCTTGATGTTATTCTTTTATAGATTTTGTTTAAACTTTAAACAACCAAAATGCACTATACAGGCAGAATATTATGCTCTGTGTCTTTAATCAATCATTTAGAATTTTGCTACATGTGGAAATGTCTATGTGGAGATTTAAATATTTGGTGTGTGGAACTCTTTTCTATGAGTGGCTACTTTTGCTGCTTATGCTGAATATCTAGGATTAGAACTACAATGTTCTTTTGTCAAAGAATTTTGTGTTAGACATATTAACCATTTTGAGGTTCAAATAATTACGTTAGCTTTCTCAGCCGAAAGCTCAACAAGTTATGTTTTGAAGTTAGTTGTGGCCATCACTGTATACAATAGAGTGCTTGGTGGTTTGATTTACTGTGTTGGTTGTTTTGCTAGATATATCATGAATAAATATTGGTCTGATACTGTAATCTTCTGGACTGGTACAGCACCAGTGTCTCAGGTGGTATACCAACCTATGCTCTCTGGTGCCAGCCAAAAAATATAAAAATTTATCCAATATTGGTCATTTCTAAGATTGACAAATACTGGATAGTCTGGATTATATGAACCATACTGACAAGTGGAAATCTTTTTCCTTCTGATACCGAGATATTATTTATTTGCGTGAGTAAAGCCCTTCCAAGTTCCAAGACATGTTCATTGTCATTATTCTGTCTAATTGAAAAAAACATGCGTCTTTGAGTTTCAGGGAAATATTTTTTGCATACTGACCAGTATTTGAAACCTTGGTTCTTCCAGTGCTAAGATCTTTTTTTGCCTGAGTATAGCTCCTCCAAAACATATTCATTCTCCAATTCTGTTCTTAATACACGACGGTTATTATGGAAAAAAAGCATATTCATTGTCATTATTATTTCAATAAGAAAAAGAGACGTGCGTCTTTGATTTCCGGTGAAATATTCTTTTTCTTTTTTGGGAATACAATGCTATTCCTTTATTGCCTTATTATTGTTATTGTTTATTGTTATGGTTATGCAAGATCTTGCTCTATCATGGGATGACCTACTTAAATTTTCTGTTTTATTCTGCATAACTGAATCCTTATTACATTGACAATATTTGTATGCATTTTGTTGTGTGTATGTGTTTGTCAGGGAGCCAAGTTACAGAAATTGAACGATTTTCTGACAGGTTCAAGCAAAAGGCACAAGGAAAACGTGAAGCTCTTGCACATTATCTCAAACTAACACCTTCAAATTTCCCATCTGAACTTATTCAAGGTAACAATATTTGGGGTTCATAAGTGGCTAATGTATAATTAAGAAAATGATATACTAGATTTGTTATTCTTCTTTTTGGTTCGTATGTTTGAGGTCAATTAAGTAACACTGGTTTTCAGGATCCAAACGTGTGCATCATGAGAACAAGAAATTACGATGGGATCGAGCTCCAGGTTCGATGAATATTTACAAACTTAAGCCATTGCTACATGTAAATTTTCCGCTACTTGTTTTAATCCTCATATGAGCTCTTAATTATCAAGAAGATTTAACGTTGTGCTCGCCCAACTCTTTCTTTTGTTTGGTTAGTTTGTCCATTTAGTTTGCCTTGGGGATTAGTAATTTCTTCATACGGGTTGCATAAGCATAAATTTCTTTGAGGTGGATTCTTTTGACTTGCTAACTAGCCTTCTCCATTGTTTTGGCAAGTCCCTCTCTTTTTTAAAATAGGCTTTGTTTGGAACTTCTCATCAACTTTAGAGGGTTGACATTATGTGGACAACCATTCATTAATTTCATTATATCTTTCATGGAATCTTATTTATTTTATTCTAATTCATGTTGGTGGGAAAAAGGATTAAGTGAACAGTTTTAATTCCTAAAGCTGCTTGAATTATATATCATGTCTAAAGCGAAGAATTGAGGTTTTTGACACCAGTATTTTCTCTGGTTGTAACAATCAGCAGATTTTTTAAATGGAGTTATTATTACTGTTCTTGTTACAGCCAAAAACATTATTTTTTTTAAGAAAAAGCTACCTTGTTCCTAGATTTGATGTAATTGACTGGTTAAGTAAATTGATTTCTGAGTATTGAGATCTTAGTGCAAGAGTCATATGCCTTGTCGGAGGTTTATAATTTCTTTTGCTTTAACCTTTGTATTTCATCTTTTCATCACTATTTCATTTTTCATTTTATGTTTTTGAAGATTATTTACTTGAGCATCCAAAGTTCATTTTCATATGCTGATTTTATCTAAAATATAGATGATTGATCACTGTTCTTTTCTTTATAATTTATGATGTGATATGATTGAAAGGTTCTAACTTCAATATTGTTGCATGATACAGAGGATAAGCTGTTTGATTTGTTTGAAAAGCTTGAAGAGAATTACAAGGCAAGGAACAGACTTCATTACATATATATGCCTTTAGATGTCCAAGCAGATGATGCAATTTCAGTGTTTCTACTACCACTTATAAATTTCAGGGCCAGGATGGAAAGGTGTTGAAGGAGAAAAAAGGTGAAAGTGATGATGAGGAAGATGCGGAAGAAGAAGTAGAAGAGGAGTCCAGTGATGATGATGATTATAACCAGGTAAGCACATTTTAAATTTCCACTTCAGTGGCTGGCCTCCAAATAGTGATGTAAACTTGTTTGTGAACTCCAATAGAAAGTTAGGATATCTCCTCCAACTTGTGGTTTTATTGCAAATTAGCTTCTAGAAACTAAGAGAACATCTAGTTGATTTTTCCAATCATCTATAATCCAGGTTGTATTCAAGTGATATTCTTTTCAACTTTCCACAAATCAATTGTGTGGTTGTACCCTATTAGATAATTCCATCATAGTCAGTTTGGTATAGTAGTATTGTACTGCAGTTAGTAGGAACTTTGTTTGGCAGACAGCCTATCAACCCTTGGTTTCCTATTAACTAGGGGACAATAAGAATTGTTATGTTCAGTTCTATATCATTTGAAGATCAATTTGATGCAGGTAGGTATGCTGATTGCCTGCAGTACATGAATGTATGCTTGATGGATAAGGTCAACATAATTCAAAATTTGTTATTCCATAAGTTATTTATGGGAATGGTTAGGTTTGGACGTTTGGTTGAGATGTAGTAGTAAAGGTGTTATGGGGCTAATCCCGACCCGACTTGCCTGCTAGCAAGTCAAGGAATCTTGATTTGGACCAAACTCCTATGGCTTGTGGGTCAGGAATCAATTAGAGAAGAATAATAAAAAACTTATTTGCATTGTCATGTCTCGCTAGATTCCTTTCATCTCAAAAGTCAAGGATTTGTTTTCTAGAGAATTATGCAACGAATAGACATGCCTTTGAGTGGATTGTTTGTAGGAAGCCCTCCCAAACTAGCGGAAAATAAAAACAAAAAGATATTGGAGGTAGTGCACCAGTAAGGAAGTTGGAGGCTTGTTGATGTTGCCAACTTTATCAAGGGTATTTTGAACATCATCTTACAGGAGCAGGTAGTGCACCAGTAAGGAAGGGATATGAAAGCTATAGGGAGAAAAGGTTCAAATTATGTGGAAAATATGATGGCTACACAAGCTGTTAGCATGAGCACATATTTTGCATATGCAACCCTTCAATAAACCCTTGCCTAAGGTGGTTAATGACCAACTTTGGATATGTAGGCAAGCTCATAAACCAAAATTTAGAACACTGGATGGACACTCCTGGACTTCATTCCACATCTAAAAGCTCCTCTCCCAACAAGATACTGCAGATAACTGTTGTTGTAGTATTTATTTGGTTGACTGAATGAAGTCCTTCAATGTTTTTGTTTTTTCATTTGGTTTGTTTGGCTGACTTAACTAATTGGTTTCTATTTAGCTGCAAGCAGATACATAATTGTCTATTATTATCATTTATGATTAGTTTCCTTCTCACTGTTTGAACTATTTATTCTTACAGAATATCGATTTTGATGACGATGAGGACGATTTAAATATGGAGGAAGAAGAGCGTAAGTTTCTCTTGATACTTTAATTTTATCATCAATTCAGCTAGAAAATCTGCAATTTGTCACTTGATTTTGGCATTATCCTCAGTTGAATCTAAGAGGAACCCTCTTATTAGTTCACAATTTATATGAAGAATTTAAATCGTGGTCCAATACTTGGATAACTTACTGGATTGATATGGTTCCGATGGATTGAATAACACTGTTTTGATACTGTTATTTGATAGGACCTAAAAGTTATAATTCCGTACCAATAATTGGTCTGATAGATATTTGAAACCATATATGCTGCATTATATTGATAAAAAAAGATCTTTGCTCAAACTTTTGGTAATTGCTTTTGCAAATTTACATGTCTAGTTTAGATTTGTTATTTGACAAAAGCCATATTTCTTACCAGATGAAGATGTGTACGAATAGAACACTCGAAGAACCACAGTGGAATTCCAACCGGAGGATCACAATTTTCGGACTGCAGTGCTGCTGATTTGATGACAGTTAACTGCTGACAATAACTTGTTATCCTGTGGACTTTTTACAGGAGGTTTGACTATTTTGATTGATTTTTTAATCATTTCAAACTTGTAAATATAGGTTATATACAATCATCGTGCAGAGGTAAAATTATTCAAAAATAAACCAAATAATTATTTTGAGGGTTTTCTAATTTCGTAATCATTTTGGGGGTTTTTTAATTTCGTAGAGTAGTGCAAGTGTCAGTCAGTATAGCACCCAAGAATTACTCGAGTGGCAATGGATCTTTGGAATAGTGTACCCAAGAATTACTGGCAATGGATCTTTGGAATAGTGTTCAGGGTTGGTTCATTGTATTGTTCCCATAGAAATATCATATAGGCACTTGTGGAAACTTTAGTTTATGATAGATCACCTTTGACTTTTTGTCATGTGATCATTCAAAACTTGTAAAGTTCATGTTTATAATTTTTATTGTCTATCAAGTGTTTGTTGAAATGATCCATTATATGTCTTTTGTATGTTATTTACGAACGAACATGTAAGAGTGTCGTATAACTTGGGTAAAACTAGCGAAGTTTGTAACAGATGGTATCAGAACGAGACAAGCATACTTAGAAACACTTAGCATGCGAAGGGGACTTAACGGGGTTGCATTGAGAGCAATCAACATGCATAACTATTTGGAAAAAACGGGTGTTGAGATATAGGGAATGGAGTCGTTGAGAGAAGCAAGCATCCTAGATTGGTATTTAGAGGAATAGTTAACCCTTTGCACGAGAGGCACCACAAGGATAAGCAAATTAAGAAGAATGCATAGTGCATAAAGGTTATGATGGTTAAGTTCGAACTACAACTCGACATTGGCAACCAAACTTGATGATGCTCAAGGTAAGTGGAGTGCTTGGCAAAGGATGAGACCGTGCAACATAGGATGCATTATTTAGTGACTGAAAAAGTTATGCAAAACTCACCAATGTGAGAGGAATTGTTAACTCAAAGAATTTAATACTCATGTAAGGGCTTGTATGCGGATGATGGAATGTCCATGGCTATCTCAAGGCTAAAGTGTGCAGTAAGTTCAATATATTGCTAGGCTATGAGGGGTGCACCGGGGGCTATATTGGTGAAGAGTCGTAATATAGCAAATGTGTTCGTGAGAGCAGAACAATGCATAGTTTGTTCGATAAGATAGAGTAGTCCAAGGGGATGGTTGTTTTCAAAATTTCCAAAGGAAATGATGTGAAAAGGAAAGTTGCTCTAACATGACAGATATTCATGAGGGATAAGTCTCAGTTCTCTAGAGGGAAAATCATATGCAACAGGCCACATATGTTGAGGGGGGATATCTCAAGACAACAACTCTACAAAGTTCAACAAATCGAGCGAGTGACAAGGAGTCATTGCATGATCTTGCACAAGATAATACGTTGGTAGATGTTTGTGAGATCAAGTGGAGGAGTGACCTAAGGCAAAACCAAACGAAGGTACACTTAGAGCCGATATGAAAATCAAACTCAATGAAGAGGTGACCCGTGGAATGGTGGACACAAGGGCCACCATCAACTCAATGCAAACCAAGGGGCAAAGCAACTTGAGTGGAACTTGGTGAAGTGCCCAAGCCACATGAAAGGAGTCGACACAGAAGACGAAACATGGAGTCGAGACACAAAGCTTTCCTTTGACAGAAGTCAAGAATATGAACTCTTATATAGACAAGAGCGGGATCATGTCATTCCATGAGTCTCTCATTTTGATAGAATGGACTCATCTTGCATAATGCCAAAGACGAAGGGAGCTTTGAAGCATATGCACCTCATCTCGACTTAGCATTTGATAGAAAAACTAAGGGAACTTAACTTGCGAATGTGAAATTTGGGTCAAAAGGTCATAGCATGGGGTAAGAGGATGTGGAGGCGGATACTCTTGAAGAATATATCGCAGTCCTGTCATTCGAGTTGCCACGAAAGGAGTGATGCGTAGCGAAGATTGTGCTGTTGGGTGAGGGGGGGGGGTGGGGTGCAGAGGCCCGGAATCCAAACAATGGCATACCAACTTTAGCGAACTAAGTGATGGATTATCCTAGAGTTGTATTTCGTCCGAGTGTTACCCGAGAGTGGGTGGACGAAGGTCGATTACCAAATGAGTGAATACAATCAATACAATCGAAGGTAGCAAAGACCCTATGATGTGTTGGCAAAGGCCACATGTGGTGATATAGCAATCCAAGTTCATCCCACAAAGATCAAAATACACTAGAGATGTCACCAGGAGGTGATATGGTGCAGTGGATCATGGTGGAACAATTCAAGGCAATACGACACACACAGGAGAAGTACCATGTGGGACTTGATTATACGAAGGTATGATCGAGAGTTATTGAGAACCCCACTTTAGTGAACAACATGATGGTAAGAAGGGCTATAGATTCAAGGAGTGAATGTTATAGTATCGCAAAGTCAAGTCTTCTGTGAGTGCATCGAATTTGGCATCAGATGAAAGCCTTGATCGTCAACATATGAGGGCTGTGTACCACTAAGGAAAATTTTCAGTGCAAGTACTAGTGAGTCCTATGGGGTGGCTTGATCATACAGAGGTATATTCAGAGCGATTGGAGAGTTGGATTGTTTCAAAGCTCACATTCGCTTAAGGGAGCCTGACAAGTTAGAGGACAAAACCAAGTAAGCAAACGTTGCTACCAAAGAAACTAAGAAAAACAAATTTGATGCGAGCCTTACAATATGATGGTGGAGACTATGCATGGAAGTTGTAGTCTATCTTTCCATCGATTAAGGGAAATTACTTGGAGAACATAGGGGTGTTGAAGTAGATGGTTGAAATGGGTGAAGAAGTGACGATGAGTCTAAAGGGACTTGCTACCCAAAACTAAGCTTCGGTTAGAATATAGGTGGAGTTAAAGGAGTGCCACAATATCGAGAGGCGGATCTATCAATCATGAAGAAAGGGATGCAGATGCGAGGTGACGAATAGCAGTGCAATAATAAAGGTGAGACTTTCGTGGAGTCATCGATCCCTTGCTTTCATGGAGGGAGAGCACTTAGTCGTGAAAGAGACCAACGAGGTAGAGAATGCAAAGGTAAACTCCAAGTACTGAGACAAGGCTAAAGGGCAGAGACCAGGGAACTTTGTAAGACTAGTGTCAACAAGCTTCTCGTCAAAATAGCCGAAAGTAAAGGACTTTGAGTTGATGCAGGAGTGCTCGACCAAATAACGAAGTAGACAATATACAGTTTTGTACCTTTTCTACTTAGATGAGTATGCGATAGAGATGTGGAGAAGATAGTATAATTCCAGAGACGACCAAAACTATTAGAGACTTGCTCTAAGTCAAGATGAGATTAACTTTTTTCGAGCAGAACTTCTTATATTCCAGAAGTTCGATAGCATTTAGAAGATGAATCGTAATAGCTAACTCAATGCAAGGAGTGCAAATACTTCAGGTGCTTCAGAAATATGATAAAGAGCAAATGATGGCTAATAATCAACTTGATGTATAGAGTACAACCCTCGAGGAGGCGGACAAAGTTGAGCAACCTTTGTCTTCTCAACTCTTAAGAGAATGGATGAAACTGAGTACTCCAGTTCCCTTATTTATCCAGTAGAGGAGCTCTGCACAGGTTCAGCGATTCATCAAAGAAACTTAACATAAGACAACAGTTGTCAAATCCTCACTAATGGTGATCGGTGTTATTGAGAGTAGATTGTCCACTTTATTTCCCAACAGAATATCAATTGAAAGTGGAAGTGATGCGAACATACATGAAGGTGACAAGTAAAAGAGGAATCGATGGGCAAACTTTCCGAAGGAAAGACCCCAAAACCAGTTTACGAGACGCTATTAGTTAAAACTCCAATAAATATCCTCCCAATTCAAGTGGTATGAAACGTTTAAGAGACTAACACATAAAAGGTCTTTTTCTTCATTTAAATGATTCGTAGGAACCAACAAGAATCAACATAACTCAACCAATCATATACCAAAGTCAGAATCATCGGTGAGTTGAGTTGAAGCAGCATGGCGGATCAAATGTCAACTACTCAACAACAGCAATAGAGAACATTTGGGAGCTAAGAGGCACGTTACAACTAGAGCAGAATATTAAAGATTTAGCTAAGGACGTCGAAGCGAATAAGTGAAAGATAATGCCACAAACAAAGCTATAAATGGGGTGTTCAATGTAATGCTCTTGTATATTGATCGTTTCAAGCTTGTAAATACAGGTTGTGTGCATTCATCGCACAAAGGTAAAACTACTTAGAAATAGGTTATCAAGGCAATCATTTTAAGGGTTTTCTAGCTTCGTAGAATGGTACGGTGTGCCAGTACAACACCAAAGAACTATCCGGGTGACACATGACTAGATGGACCTTTTGAATAATGTCCAAAACTGATTCATTATTTTGTTTCGCAACAATGTCATGTAGACACTTATGGAGACTTTGGTCTATGGTGGATCACCTTGGACTTTGTTCTGCGATCGTTCAAAGCTTACGTATTTATAATTTGTATTACCTATCAAGTATTTAATATTTTCTCTAACCCATATTTTTTTTTGTTATAGGTGAACATAAAACCATAAAGAGATTTCAAACAAACTAACCATTTACAAACGAACACACTACCGTCCTGATAATAAGCCATCACATTCGAATATAGAAAAGCAGCCGTTTGCCATGCACGGTTCATATATGGAGTCGTAGCTATGGCCGCACTCGTGAAGCCATTTCGACGGGGATTAGACTATATTTTCTTTTTGAAGAAGCAATGAAAACAGAATTAATATCAAGATCTTATTATCAAGGATCAAATTCTTTACCTAGTAGATATCTTCGTGTCAATCTTTAATCATGTCGGTATATTACTTTGAAAAACAAATGCGTCAACCGCTTCATCCGCTTGATCCTCATCTAAAACTCCATTAAAAAATAAAGTCATCCTTGATCATTCCATACAAGTAATTTTCCTCTAATCTTAAGAATTTACCTAAAATGGCATACTCACATAAGTTATTGATATCTAGAGTGACGGATAAAACAACACCTTCGGTTA